ATGATAATTCTTATTATATATATATATATATATATATATATATATATAGATACCAAATAAATCAACCAAAACCCGGAAAATGATTTGATGCGTCACTACAACCCGTCGCAAGAGCCAATATTCATCCGACCCGCCACACGAGTCAACCTGAATATTTTTATTTAAAAAAAGAAAGAAAAAAACTTGCGCGGAACCTCCATACTATCGGGCCGATTCTGGTTCCTCATTTTATGGCCCGCTGACCCGGCGGGTTGGAGCCCAATCCAGTGGGTCGGGCCCATCAGTCATATCAAATCGTAGAGGATTTTACTAAAGTTTCTCATAATATCAACTTAATTAGGTCATATTTCACATTTTTCATTTGAGAATGATTTTTTTAAGGAAATATTGTTTTCATTTAAATGGTAAATACTTGTATATGTATAAAGTATAAATGAAATATACTAACTAATAAATATCAATGTAACCAAATACAAGATTATTCAAATACATAATATTCATGAGTTATAATTGCATCGATTACAATGTGATTATTGATCATTGTATTTTTAGCTATAACTTACATAACATTGACAAATGAAATAAAATGCATTTTATTTTATGGTAGAATGCATGGTGACCCCACTGCATAATTTGCAAAAACTGCAAAACCCAAACAAGTAAAATTAATAATCCTAAATAATAATAATAATAATAATAATAATAATAATAATAATAATAATAATAATAATAATAATCCTAAATTGGTACTAAACATTACACCACATATATTTTTCTCCATTTGGGAAATTCCAATTTTCTAACATTATAGGAAATCAAATAATGTAATTAGAGGAAAATTCTACAGTCTCGTTACGGGGTGGTACTGTCAGTGTTTTTCACTATTGGATACACATATAGATTATCTTGTGTGGATAATCTACGGTAACCAAAACTGACGGAACCATTCCGTCGACGAGACTGTAGTAGTTCTTGTAATTAGATTGCAAGATAGAGGCAAAGCTTTCAAATAGCATGCCTTGGATTTTACTTATTCTTTTAGATGGCTTGAATTTGGAAAAACAAAAATTAGCATTTCCTATTGTTTTTCCATCATATCTCCTTGATTTCCTGAATCAAATTTTCAGACATCTATGCAGAATATATTGGGTTGATCTTCATTTTTTTCCCATTAAAGGTGCAATCTTTGAACAATGAAAGTTCAGATTTTTTTATTTTTTTTTTTAATGCAATCTAAATGATTGTAATCTGGGTTTCTATAAATTTCCCCTCAGATTTACCATTTGGGGTCTCTTTTTTTATTCAAAACTCCTCAGATTCTTGTGATCTTCACAAATCTTGGGCTTACCATTCAAGAAAAAAAAAAAAAAAAAAAAAGAATCATGTTGGCCACTCTTTATTTTCTTGCTTAAATACCAGCAAGATTGATCTCTCTGAGTTCTCATGGCTCAGTAAGAGTGAAAAATAATGGCTTCTGCAAAAAAGACTAAACCGAAAAAGGCTCCACAGAGAGGATTAGGTGTTGCACAGCTTGAAAAAATCATACTTGAAGAGAAACAAAGGAATGAGTTTTTGGCCAAACATGCAGTTAGTTCACGTAATGTTAACAAGAGTAGTTCTAATGTTCCGGTTTTAGGCTTTCAAGGCCCGAGCTTTCGCCCGGTTACTCGGCCATTGCTCCCAAAAACCGAGTCTTTGCACGAAAGTTCGACTCGGCTTTCAAGTACCGGTGGCGAGAGTTGGCCTAAGTCTTGGAATAGTGAACATAATCTTGAAACCATTCGTGATACGAGTCGATTTGAGTCGCGAACGAATTTCGGGTTCGAGTCGAGTGTGCCGGTTTTGGCTCCAAGATCTTCTACATTGGTTAGTTAACACTTGTAAATGATCAATTTATCATTAAGGTGTGTAACTATTTGTTTGTTATAATGTTTTAGTGTTTTTTTTTATATATGTATGGTGCTAATTATTTATTTAATTTTTTTTATTTGCAGATGGAGCTCCCTTCAATTCAAAGTTTTCATCCTAAAAACTGTGCATTAACAGAGGATGATAAGGTAATCTTGTTCTTTTTTTATTTTTATTTTGTTATTTATTTATTTATTTTTTTTTTTTTCTAATCAATGAAATGATTTACTTGATAATTGTTAGGATCATCATATCTCCATTCCATTTAATTTGTAGAAAATGTTTCTATATGGTTGTGATTAATTATCTAAGATCCATATTTTTTTCTTGATTTTTTTTCCAAAGTGGTTATTATTTATTTATTTTTTTCTTTCTAAACTTGTTAATTTGGATTAATTATTATAATGTTATCTTATGTAGATAATTGGCATGAAGAGATCACACTTGTCTAAATCAGACCAATCAGCTTCATGTACCAATGAGATTACACTTCATATGGAACCACAAAACAAATTGATCAGGTTTTCATTAACTAATTTCATTTAATTTTAAATGTTTTGTTTATTCTTGTGCTTTTAGGAAGAATAAAATTTGAAAAAAAAAATAAAAAAATATTGTAATTCTTGAATTATGATCACACTGAATTTCTTTCACAATTTTGCAGAGAAAGCGTTTGGAACTCGAACGAAAGGAATTTGAAAAAATTAAAGAGCGATGATCCGAAGCTAAATGGCGACTTTCTTACATTGGCTCCTCCATCGATTGTTGATTCTCCACCGTTGGATCATCCCTGTCGAGATAGGCAACAATTATGTATTGCTGATCAGGTATGTCAACAAAAATATAGCCAAAAGATCAATATTTATACATTTAAGATGTGATCAAGTTCTATTTTAGTTTTTAAAATTCGACATTTCAGTATGAAATATGTTTTATCGTTCTTAGATTTTATTTCTTGTCCAGGAATCGGTAAACAGCAAAATAATCCATCGACCGAGTGGATTGGAGGGAAATTCTTCAAGATATTCTTCAAATAAATTGAAAAATTGTCAAAATACAAACTATGGAAACAATGGCAATAATAGTGAAAAGGGAGAAACAGTTGATCTCAATCTGAAGCTATAGTAGTAGCTTTGTTCATATTGAAATGGCTTTCTGTTGTTGGTTATGTATAATTGTATATTGCTCACAAGATTAAACACATTGCTGCTGAAGTCGACTTACATTATCATTTTGGTCAAATATTAATTAGTTGTCATTGTAATAAACTTAAGTTTTACATAATGCCGAGACACGTAAAAAATAAAAATAAAAATAAATTGTACTTAAATATTTTTGAATTAAATTTAAAATGGTGAAGACCTCACGAGTGGTTTTAATAAAAATAATATTTTTCGTGGGAGGTAATTTTACAGTCAACATTTTATTTACATTGGAGATAAATTTATCAATTTTATCATATTTTCCATGAAGGGATGACTAATGATTTTAAATTTTACAATCATTTATCTTCTAAATATGTGTACACACATGAAATGAAATTTGATCCTTAAAACAACCTCGAGAAATTAGTTAACATTGCTAATATATATATATATAT